CAAACCATACATCAGGTGTCCATGTCTTTCGTAATTCCCTTCCATAAACCCAGTCAATAGTAATGTCTACTTAGGAGTTCATACATTTCTTTCTCTCTGCCTACAGACTCCAACTCGTCATGGCCCTGCCTCAACGTTTTAACTGATTTACATTCGCCACACACACACACACACACACACACACTCTATGTAAATCTCACCGTTTTATTTCCCATTGGAACGCTATTTATTTATTCGCCAAGGTATTTACGTTTCCATCGAACTCTATAACTCTCTTCCGCCATTATGTGACACAAGTACCGCTTCTCTTGCAGCTGAGGGATTGTTTTTATTTATTTTTTCGTTATTGTGATGATATTGTGCCTAAATGTGTGAGACTTTTTGCAAGTGCTTTTATTATTATTATTATTATCAATAATCATCTTTCCAGAGAGAAGTCTTAAGTACCTAATTACCAAAAATCCCCCCCCCACTCGGTGTGTATGAGTAAAAAGTGAAGTGTAGGAGAGTTATCTATGCACATTTTCGGGCGTTTTGTTTAGATGCAGAGGGTTTTGGCAGATGATATATGCAGTCCCACCCAAAGTAATCTTTTACAACTCTGAGGTGCTGATGTGTCCAGGAATTGTACTCACATGATTTTCGGTACCCTTCTTTATCCTACCCAATGCCCCCACTCCCAACAACAGGGATCATCGTAATTTTAAGTTTACAGATCTTTTTTTTTTTTTTACTTTGATTTGAAGGTCCTTATAAATTTGACAGTTTGGGATTTTTTTTTAGAAACATTGGAATCCTGCAAACAAATCCTTTCAATTAGTTGGCACGTTCCATTTTTGAAATTTTTTATGACTATGTCTGGTCTATTTGCATACATTTTTCTGTCTGTGAGGATTTGGAAATCAGTCTCGTCACACGAAAACCATTTTTGACATCATTCGGGTGGTGTTTGAACCATCTACCCGGGACTTCAATACAATTGTTCGAATAGACATGATGATGGTTGCTGTTGTTGCTAAAATTATCCCCATCATCATCATCATCTCCATTATTATTATTATTATTATTATTATATCTCGTACTGTTCTTTTCGGCTAGTTAAATCCTATTTCCGCCGTGTCTAGATTATGAGTCCCTGTAATTAACAACTGTTTTCCTTGTTTTTGTAAATAATTTTCATATTGCATAAAAACAGCGTTTTTTTTTTTTTTTATTTATTCGTATCTTACTGCCATGTTCTCCCTCCCCCAAAATTGTCCATCTGGGACGAATTAGAACTTCATAGAGAAATTGCAACATTATGCTGTTTGCTGGACGAACGAGTATTTGAAGTTTCGATGTAAGTTAAGAAAAAAAAATAATCGAATAAATGAGTCAGTGACTGTAACTTTTAATGTCTTGTCCCTTTAGAACAGAGACGATCATGGTTCTCCACACATTCCTTTTCTGTATTGTTTGTAAATTGCCAGATGTCCTTGGGAAAGATAATAGAATGGTTACCTGTTGTCTTCTTGATTTGGAATTCAGTTTTATTTCTCTTGCATTTGGTCGCTGCCCGAAGCTAGAGAGGTCAGTCTACTCTGCTTTTTAACCCTTAGAAAGGGAGATGAAATGGCTTTCCTGAGAAAGTGAATTCAAACAGGTCGGAATTCGAACTCGCTTCACCGATTTCACATTTTGCTGTTGATACCCGTTACACTGCTATCACGTAAATGTGATAACCACGCTTTTTCTCACTTTTAAGTTTTGTACCGTTTGCGGGGGGGGGGCACTTTGTAATAATTACAAAAGCAAATACCATAACTTTATTTAGAGCCTGAATTAGGTTTCTGTTATTCATTCACCAACTCTGTCATGATGACTTGCATAAAAGCTCCTAAGGTTTCTGCTTCTGATTTGTCTAAACTCAGTCTTTCAATCTATTGGAATTGATGATGTCTGTTGGCAGATTCTTGTTCTAACTGGTAAGAGACAAATAAATGGCTCTCCACAGCTTCTTGTGTTTTGTCGTTATAAGTACCTTTTTACTAGACACCCTTTCTTTTTTTTTTTACTACCGACCTTCTTTTCTTTTTTTTTTTACTAAGCACCCTTCTTCTGTTTTCTCTTCACATAAACTCGTTAAGTAGGTTAATCGATGTTTTCGACATTCTTCGATTACCTTCAGTGTGTCCGGTAAGTGCGTCCTGTAAGTGTTCATTCTTCATTATGCATCCCTGACATTTTGGGATTTTTGTTCTGGCTTTTCCTTACAGTAGGTGTTTGTTCCGGAAACCGATTCTTCATTAGTTTGTAACGATCGTGGCTGTCTCTGGGGGTCGAACCCCCAGTTCTGAGAGAGTCGAACCTCAGTTCTCATAAGGTCGAACCCGATCGAATAGGTCCAATTCCACTGCATCTACGCCCGCAATGTATTCAAAGATCCATAAGAAGGGACGGTAGCTAAATTGGTTGAAACACAGATGAGCTGATCTGGTTTTGTCACAGAAAAATCAATGCCTGCGACTTCAAAGATAGAAATAACATTTGGATTAGAATAATTACAGGATAACAACGATCCTGGAGGAAGACAAATGACTTGAATAAATCAGTTGAGTAAATGGAATTGGTAAACACACGTACATTGCTGATAATTCAAAGGAATGGATTCAAAGACAACCGAAGAATAATAATCTAATCATTTCAAGGTCATTGCGCTAGATGCGGACTTGGATTCAGCCTGTTTTACTGGATTTCTGGGATTATTTATATGCAGAGGATCTTTTTTCTGTTAATTCACTCCCAAATAAAAAGAATTTATAGTTACTAAAATTTCCACCAAAATTCAAAAATGCTCTTTAAAATTTATTTAACAAACCGGACACACTGAAGGTAATTGTTAATTTTTGCCTTTTTGTCTCCAAAAGGAACTCCCACAAATTAGTCTATCAGTCTGCGATGAATCCCGAACGTGGACCTAGTCTTCACTTTGGCGTTCGGTCAGGTACTTTCGATTGTTTACCTGTCACCTTATGTTTCTGGGTCAATGATATTCATACTGTGATTTACAATCAGATGACTAGAATTGGTATCATCCTTCAAAGATGTCTATCCTTTCCAACAATCCAGCATAATCCTAATCCCAGGTAAAATACAGCTTCGGATTATGTCTAGCTTGTATCAACTCCAGCAACTTCATGACAAGCTAAACAAATTTTGATTTATAATTTCAAGGCTGCCAAAAATTTAATTAAAAAATAAACAAACTTTTGATTTAAAATTTATAGTTTCTTTGGGACGAATTAATATTTGCGATAAGGAACTTTACATTATTTGGATTGAATTAACAGAAAAGATCCTCTACAGACTATTCTCCACATCGGCTGAAACGTTCTAATCACAACAACAAAAATCAGGATAATCGTCTTAATGTAAATAATTACAACTTAATTATAACTAAAAGTTGATAAAGTAATAACAAATAAAGTAGTTCAATTATAGTGATCCATTTGTTTCATAAGGTCAGAGGTGAAATTAAGATTGCATCACTATTTTAGTCATTTAGTTTAGTCAATTGTTTTATTCGGGTCGTTGTTTTCCTCTCGGTAAACTGTAGTCAAGCCGAATATTTTTGTTCAGGGTGACAAAATATAACACGTGACCGAGAGTTGTGGAGGAAAGGAAGAGATGGCGGCTTTCAATGTCATGATAATAATTTAAGCTCGTCACATTCAAAAAGACACAACAATTTCTATTTGTTTTTAACCCTTCTGATGCTTGTTTCTCCGATAAGATGGACAGTCGGTCGAGTCTCCGGTCAAAATGCCTCAGGTTAAAAATACTAGCGTGCCAGGATAAATAAGGGCGCTTAGGACTAGCAGCAGTCAGGACTTCTTTCAGTTCGGAGTTGAGCCAATGTCGTTAGCTGCTATTTCAGCTCAATCCTTAACTTGGATTCTTAGGTCGTCAATCTCGGTGACCCTCTCTCCTTTGGCGACCCTTAACTCGTATTTCTGTCCACATTGTGTCAATTTTTTTTTTCTCCCCAACACCTACTCCCCACCCCGCCCTACACAGCTGTCATTTAATCTCTCACTGACACGCCAAGCACTTAACTGACCTTTTCCTTCAGTCGGCAGTGAGTTTACCTTCGGTCGGTTTTTTGACTGACAATTTTTATCAACAATCGACTTCACTAAATTTTGGTTACGTTAACATTTATTTATTCTCAAAATTATGTAAAACCCACTTCATTTTAACAAACGTCTCGGATTGAGGAATCGGAGAGCCGAGTTCGAATTCCACTCGAATCCATTACATTCACTTACGTGCTAATACCCTTGGGAAAGGTAGGAATCCTCTTCTTCTCCCTCCCAATTATTGGTAAATAGCAGAACAGACTAGGTTCTATAGCCTGGTTAGCAACTGGTCTACCGCAGAAAGAAATAGCAACCTACTGCGGGAAAAAAATCTGCCTCGTCAGTCATGTATCGAAAGATACATGATCGCCTAAGCGTGTATCACATATGGCACATAACTGACTGACAGATTATATACTAGTAAAATCCATACGAGCAATGGTTGTCCTTTTATGCACCAGATTTGTTATCTCTGCTTAATAAATTTTATTTTTATTTTTGTTTTAAGCCGTGATTGATTGTTTGATTCGTTTTTTACGGGTTACCAACCCTTTGCAGGTTATTTAAAGACAGAAAATATTTTTAAATTGTAACATTTTTTCAGATGATAATAATGGTTTTAGTGATACAGATCTTACTAATTAACCCATAGCTGGGGGGAGAAGGTATTTTCGTGTAAGTGAATATAACGAACCCAACGGGAATTGGAACTCGACTCGCCGATTAACAATTCCGAGCCATTATCCATTACACCAGCACCTGTTATTCTCAAGCGGTCACCCATTTAAATACTGACCTGGCTTAACTTGACTTTGGTAATCGTACAGGAACTGTTTTTTTTTTTTTTTTTATGTGATGTGGCCGTAAGCCCATTACACCAAGCTTACATCACCTGGTATTACTAAGCGGTTACCCATCTAGGAACTGACCTGACTCGACATTGCTTAACTTCGGTGATCGTACGGGAACCGTTGTTTCGGCGTGATATAGTCGTAAGCCTGTTTTAACGCGTGATCGTATGTCAATGTTTGACATTCCAAAATATGTAAATATTATCAATAGAAACGTTTTTTTTTCTTTTAAATCTGTTTTTTTTTATTATTATTATTTTTAACAAAATCAGGAAAAACGTACAAGCCCCCACCAAAAAAAAAAAACGGATCTTTTCTGTTAATTGATCCCAAATAATGCAAAGTTTGTCATTATAGCAAATATTAATTCACCAAAAGAGATTATAAATTTTAAATGAAAATTTGTTTTTTTGGCGTTTTTTTTTTTGTTTCTTTTTATTATTAAATTTTTGAAATTATAAATTTTAAATCAATATTTGTTTAACTTGCCTTACAACTCCAACTTTCAGAATGAAACATTACTAAAAATCAGGAAGTTATTCACTTTTCGTAAGTGCAGATGATATTCGAAGAAATTTTACAAGTTAAAAAAAAAAGATAAAAATCCGTTTTTGGTTTGTTTATTGAGGTGTATTGAGGTGAGCGCGTACGAAGACCCCACACTTAGAAATAGCGCACTCGAGTCGCCCATATTTGGGGCAATCGCAAAGGTCACCCCAACCGGAGTGCAATGGAAGGGCCTCGCTTTGGGGAAATTTGGTGTGAATTTTAGTAAATATAAATTTTTTTTTTTTATTTTGAGGTGAATTAACAGAAAAAAAAATGTTGTTTCTATTTTTTAACCTAAAGTAGATCAGTGAAAAAAAGAACAGAAAACAATATTTATTTAACAAACAAAAGTTGTTTTAATCCGGTTAGTATTTTGCTATTTTGCTGAATATGATGTGAAGAAACATCGAAATAATAACCTGTACCCCATTTTCTTCCTTCAAATATTAATTTTTCTATTCTATTTTCCGGAGACATTGTTATTTCTTGCAATCCGTTTAAACTGGATGCGATAAAGTTAGTCATTCTTAAGAAAATCAGGTTTTGCCTTGTATGAATAGATGAAGTTGTCATAAAATAATTGTACTTTTCCCGCTTTTTATTTGCAGCGCCAATTGAAGAAAATGACAAATTAGAAGATTCATCTCCCGATCGAATATTAACCTCGCCATCAAAATATTTCCTTGTAAATGTAAGAAGTCATTTTTATTATTCATTTTTTTATGAATAGCGCCATTTTCAAACAAATGGCACTTTTAATAATTTAAAAGCTTTGTATCTTTTAAAATATCTTAACAGAAAATTTCAGTTGAGACAAAAATACGATCATTCTGATATGGATCCCCCCACACAAACGATCAAATATTTGTCTATGACTGTATTGGGGTGGGGCACAGAACCACCCACGATTTATTCACTGATTAATTTTTCTTTTTCGTACAAAAATGGCTACAAAAATATTGCGGGTAATCCTTAAGCAGACATCGGGGATTAGCAAGATTTGCATCTTTTGCTTTTTGGCCCATACAGTGTGTCTTGTCTGCCATTGAATTCAACATGTCAGTCAACCAAAACGAATCATTTCACTTCATTTAGTGAGCTAAATGTCGGCCTTGTGCCACCTCTAAGCTGCGCTTAGAAAATCGTGAGTTCTCTGAAAACCTGAATTTATCGAGATATTTATTTTCCTACTAACTTTGATTGGGCATTACGACCTGGTGTAATGGTTAACAAGCTTGCCCTGCTAGAACAATTACGACTGAGTAGCGAGTTCGATCCTCACTGGCTCCACATCTACACTATGTAAATCAATAGACTCACCTGACCACGGCGGGCAGAGGGGGTTCAAAATTAATTCGATCGCCAGGGGTGGGGGGCCATCCTCTCAGATAGTGCCTTTTCTTCGGGAGGTGGTTGAGGACAATACAAGACACCTGAGGCGTCCTTAAAGGGACAAGTGCCAGGTGGGCTTGAACAATTTTTGAACGTCTACTGAAATCCCACTTTAAAATTGACCTTGTGTCACATTTTGTACGACGTGTGTGCGCGAAGAAATCCTACCATCAATTTCACCCACGCACCAAAGACTTCATCGTTACAATCATTTTTTGTTTTTATATTTTGGAGACCAGTAAACAAAATTGAAGATTTTAGAAAAGAGCCCTTAAAAATGTGAATTAAAATCGATGTTTCAAATTTTTTATAAAAGGAAAGGACGTTGTAATTAATTATTTAGCAATAAGTTCACATTTTCCAGTTTTCATAGTCTATAAAAGCGTCTCCATGTCCTTGTTGGAGAAAAAATATTTTCCACCGTCCAACCACTCTCTCACAAGCAGAGTGTGGTAAGTCTCTCATTGCTTTATCGCTACTGGCATGGAAAGTGCTCGGATGAACTAATATTCTTTTGTTCCAACATATATATTCCCTACATTTAGAGCTTGGTGAACCGGGACAGCAACTCTCTGATTAGGCTGTAGCGGACCGTCGGGTGATGAGTATGTATTGTAGAAGAACACACGTGAGTTAAAATTTCCTGCTAGCCGGTCCAACTACATGAGAAAGTTGGACTTTAATTAAGTCCAAAGAAAACAAACCAGACCTATAAATATATGTAAACAAATATATGTATTAACAACAACTTACAAGCACATGGACAGTTATACTGAGTGTGTGTGGTGAATATTATGTGTGTGTGTGTGTTATGGTGAGTGTTCGTACGTACGTGTATTGTTCTTAGCGTGTTCCCAGAATTTGTTAAACGCTGTATTGGTGAGAGCTCACATATTGGTATTAGCTGAAATGAAGAAAAAAGAGAAAGAATTACCTCGCCTCCACGCGAGGTGGGATACAGCCCAAGGCCTGAGGGGAAAAAGAGAGTTTGAGGCGAAGGGTCAGCCAGTATTTATAGCCAGGGGAGAGAGACCCCTGGTAAAGGGTTAGGGAGCTGAGGAGGAGCTAACTCCAACAAGGCTACGAAGGCTCATTCACAGAAAATCATTTAAAATATAGCCATTCAGCTACATTCTTTCTTTTACTTCCATTATATATCATTTGTTTACGCCTAATAATAGTAGATATATCAGTCTTTCAGTTGTGTCACCTTTTATAAAAACAGCCTAAATTAGTGAGTTATTTTTTAAACCGTATATTTATTGTACCAGAAATAGAATTTTGGCACGAGGCCGAAGGGCAAGTGTGATGAGGCTGGTTGTCAATGACTATCCCAAACTGACCTGACCTGACTTGTGAGCCATTCATTCATCACAATTTACTCGGTCGCCACAAGAATTCATTCATCTACATTCATTCAACATATACCAAAATACCGCATATTATAAGAGGTTTCTACTAAAACAGACATGACATCAAAATTTCAAATATATACAAATTACTTTTTTTTACTTTTTTGTTGTAGAAATAGATGGCATGAAATGACGGGGAGGGAATGTACCCAATAACGAAAATAAAATACAACAAAACATTCAAACTAAAAAATAAAATATGTTAGTAAGAACCCGTCCGTCCCACAGGAAAAATCAAAATGGCTGCTATATTCTACCAATTTACAAAATCACGACACATTCACTAAAAGTGAGAAAAGGACACAAAAGTTATTTTTTAAAACTGGTGCTGCCACAATAAATGTTTTAATATTCTTATAATTTATTCTTGTCAAATATTTTTTATCTGTCTATAATCCTGAGATGAGGTATTATGTACATTATTTACATTATTCGGACTATTGTCCTCATCTTTGTTGCCATATTTATTACAACGTTTCGGCTGTTGTACACTCCGGCTTTCTTCAGGTGGTTGGAATGTCGAACTGAACCCTTTATTTCGCTCACTCAAGGACACATGGCACAGTGGATAAAGGCGTTGGTTAGATCCAGTGACAGGACCCAAAGAGTGTGAGTTCTATACCTGGTTAAGGCTGTGGAGAACATTCAGAGGAAAATTAACAGGAGATAAATGATAACTGACATCCATTAAACATGGCACGTGGAACTAGAACAGTCTACCCCAGTGAGCGAAATAAAGGGCTCAGTTCGACATTCCAACCACCAGAAGAAGGCCGGAATGTACAACGGCCGAAACGTTGTAATAAATATGGCGACAAAGATGAGGACAATAGTTCGAATAATGTAAATAATGTATTTTTTTCTTAATCGTTATATACTTAGTTGTTTATTTATATATACCTACTTATTTATTTCATTTCAATGTTAAAGGCTTCCCAGAATCTGAGAGTCGAAAATCAATCGGAAACCTTTTCACCGGAAATGAAGTTGGTGTACAATAAAAAGCCACTGGAAAAGACGAAGAAACTAAAGGAGTACAAAGAGAAAGAAGAGGCGATGGAAGCAGAACAAATGAAGAAAGACGATTATGACGATGATTACTTGCTCGATGATGACATGATTATACACAAACGTTGGCGTAAAGTTCGAAAGCGGAGATCAGCAAAGACAAAAGCAATCAGAACTTTTTTGGCTGCTAACGTCGAAGTTTGTGTTATCGTCGATTATAAATTATACAAAATCTTTTTGGAAAGAACAGGATTAGATCATCGAAGAACCATCGGTGACATAAAGCGATATTTCGCTGCGATCATTGCAATGGTAAGTGTCTTTAATTACCATTTCTTGCTGGGTCGGGGTGCGTTAAACTGGTCCAATCTTTAAAAAAAATACGGAAAAAGCTGTAAAAGAAAAGTTTTAAAGAAAACTCCTTTCTGACATTATAAAAAAATATTTTTTTCGATTCTAATAAATGTTGCTCCTTAAATGAATGCCAAACCCACAAAGATTATTTCCTTTAAAATGTCCTTATATTTTATGAGTGGGCCACTCTATTTGAGTAGTACTTTGTTTTTTTGTTTGTGCTTTTTGGTTTTTGTGTTGTTGTTTGTTTTTTTTAATAATTCAATGATAAAATCAGTGAAATAATAAAAATATGGTAGCTAGACTTCATGAATTTAAGATTGGCAGTTAGGTCTCATCATTTTACAATTGAAATGGTTCAATGAAACCATAAGTTACAGTTTCCTATCTCACACTTCTTGCTTGTGGAACTCTTTCAGCTTCTTACTTTGATCTTCAAAAATTTAAATGCAATGTCAATCGTTATCTTTTTTCTTAATTCCTGTTCTTTTATTGTTCTCTCTCCTTAATGTTTCTCTTTTTCTTATTTTTTCATACTCAGTAACCCCTTGCATCTTAGGGACTTTATTACCTTGCTTGAGGTGAAAATGATGAAAAAAAAAAAAAAGAAACTTGTATGCGCAGAATTAACAGATTCTTAGCCTCGCTTCCGGCGTTCTTGTCAACTCCGATCTTCAAAAATTTAAATATCAATCGTCATCCGTTTCATTGAATTCTTTTAATGTCCCCTCTCTCTCTCTCTCTCTCTCTCTCTCTCTCTCTCTCTCTCTCTCATACTCAGTAACTTTTTACATCTTAGTGGCTTTATTGCCTTGCTTGGGATGAAATGATTTTTAAAAAATATAAAAAATCAATTTGCTAAATGACCTGCTTATTTTGAGTATTTGACTTCCAAGTAAGCGTAACACTATGCCGGGGCCAGGCTCGTTGTCCCGGTCACTAAAAATAGTACTGCACGCTGTGTCTTTCCATGTTAACCTCAGGGTCAGGAACCCTTGGTCACTGTACTAAATGTAACGGTATACCCAGGTGGGGACGCGGTTGTTTGAAATGTTTTTCTTGTTGGTGTTTTGACATTTTCTCTTCCTCTCTTTTCGGTTCTGGCGCAAACGTAGCACTATGACCGAGAGCGTCAGCTATTTGTCCCGGTCACTGATTCATTAACATCCTGGACAGGGCATTCCTTATCCACCTTGGTTATTAGAGGAGTTCTTTTAAAAAAATCGGCAAACATGGATAAACGTGCCCACAATAAGATGCCGTGTGAAAAGGATAGCTTTTCCATTGACACCGCTTTTTCAAATTACCTTCAATCTTCGGCAATATTTATTGCCTTAAAAAGCGATGATTAGAATTTTAATAAAACCTAAAAGATATGAAAATGAATTAACATTTTCTTTGTTCTTAAGAATTAACAAAAATAATAAATAGCATGTATTTCTTATATTGGTTATAGCAACAACAACAAAAACATCGGCGAATTGTAAATTGATTCGAACTTTATAAAATGGTAAATAATAAGAATTTCCTTATAGTTGGTTCACAAATTTTAATAATTTAGTAAAATTAAGAATAAAAATTGTTTTTATATTTATTTCCTTATAAATTGGGAATTGATAAATATTTTATTGCATTAGTTGTATTAGTTTTTAGAATGTTGTAAATATAAAATTATTCTTGTAAATATACAATAAAATAATGTTGTTATAAATTATCAAGAACAAAGACAATGTATAAATTCACTTTTATCATATATTTAGATTTTATTCGAATTCTAATCATCGCTTTTTAAAACAATAAACATTGCCGAGAAGTGAAGATAAATAATAGCGGTGTCTTTGAAAAAAAACGTCCTTTTGAGAGCTCGTCTTATTGCGGGAACGTTTGTTCATGTTTGCCTAAAATTCTATGTACCAAAACATCGCAATCCCAATCTAGCTACATGTCACAAAAAAAAGTAAAACTGACAGATTCTGCAATGTTTTTTGTTCCGAAAAGCAAATGACCGGAAAGCTCTTACTTCGACATTCATCTGCCAATTCGATAAATACATCTTTATATAAACAACTTAATCTCAAGGATTTTTAGAAATTTTTTTTATTTCGACCGAGGAAGTAGTTTATTTCTTGTTATTATTTTCACCCAAGTTGGCGGGTCTACCAAGTTAATAGCCTGTTCTACTAATTTAATATTCATTATCAATTCATTAAGAAAACGTCAATATCTCAAAACTAATTACTTTTATTAATTAATTCTTTTCTCACGTTTAATTAAATAATTATCTCTCTCTCTCCCTCTCTCTCATCAAGCCTTTCTATATTTAACTCTACTATGAAACCTCCTTAGGCATATACTCGCCCTACGCCCACCTCGTTACAAAACAAAGTAATTTGCAGGAATATAAAAGATTCTTTTACCAAGACGAATTGCGGAATTGTCTACAAGACGCGACACCACTTCCATCCCGAAGCTATTCAGCCCTAATTCCAGTACATTGACCATTTAAGAAGACAATATTTGAATACTTTTGTTGTTGTCTAAGTAAAGAGCAGAGATTTCCCACGTAATGATAATTCTATTAAAAACCATATAATTTATTATACCGAGTGGATGTGCGGTTGGTGTAACGGTTATCAGAAAAGTGGAAATCGGCGAAGCGAGTTCAAATTCGAGGGAATCTTTGCCGTTCATCTTCGCAGAAACGCCTTTGGGAAAGGCATGAATCCGTCTCTTTCCCACGCTCCGAAGCTCTGGGTCAAATAGCGTTTAGGTGGGGGGGTAGACTGGAATCTTTATCGTAGTCTTGGATGGAAAAGAAGAAAAACGTTGAATTCCACACCATGGAGAAAGTAACGGGAAAAACTACACTACTTTCCTTTTCCAATTATGCACGATAATTCACAGAAAAAAACAGGGAAGCTGTGGAGAGTCATGATCGCCTACGTCCTGAAGGGACATTGCAGAGTTGTTGTTTTTTTTTTAATTATCATTATTATTCCTAATTTTTTTTAATCTTAAAAAACAGTTGTCTGTTGGCCTTCGCTGAAAATCAAGTGACAGTAAGTCCCTGTATTTTCGCAGATTTCAACAGCTTTTCTTTTTGTTTTTTTGTTTCTTTCAATTCTTCCTTCACTATTTTCTCCAAACATTTTCCAACGACGACGACGACGAAGGTGATAATGGCAATTATTAATTTACTTTTACAGATGAACGAGAGATTCAAGGGAATAAACGAGCCGGCTCTGTCAATCAAAGTGATGTTTTCTAATATCCTTATCGCTCAGGTGAGTATCTTCCCTTTCACCCAAGCCAAAAGAGGACAGTCTTGTTCTTTCGATTGAAAGAGAAATTTTAAATCTAACCAGTTTTATTCTACATCGATTCTTTCCACGACAGTCAACATTCTTATGTGAAAGCAGTAACTAAAATTCGTCTGGTAACATTTGTTTTTATAAAACTAACGTTAATCTCTTTTAATCTCTTTTCATTGGAAAATTAGTACTATTCAATCTTTCTATGCAGAATTTTCGCCAAGTTAGCATTAATGTTGAATAGCTAGAAAACAGTTATTACTGACAATAGAATAACTTTGATTATAAATTAGGGAATCGCTTGTATTACATGCGTTGCTTTGAGTCTATTTGGCCTAATCAATGTCCTTTTTTTAATCAATTCACCCCAAACAAGGCAACAATGCCACTAAGACGCAAAGGGGTTACTGGGAGTGAAAGAGAATGAGAGGACATTAGAAGGAACCGGAAACCCAATCCGAAACGTTAAACAAGAGATCAACCTCTACTGTTGTTCAAAAGACCAGGGAGGAGTGTGAACTGGGTGATATTTTACCTACCCGTTCCTCTTGTCTGCTAATGTAAGTCTTATGACGAATAGAGTAAACTATATGGATATCATAGAACAATAAACATGTCGAATCCGTCTAGAAATTACAAGAATGCTACCAAAATGAGTGATTTTTTTTTGTTCTGTTGAATGAAGTGTTTAGTGCTCAGAAGATTATTACGTATGTGGAAGTTAACAGCAGCAGATCTGCTTCTGCTTCTAAAGGTTTTGATTGAATCCTTAATTATATAAAGTAAAGCTCATTTCACGATATCCAGAAACGATAAAAAACACTTATGCATTTGATCAATAATCTCTAAACTGGACCATATGTGGCAGAAATTGATAAAGTATAGACAAATGGTAAACTTATATGTAAGATAAATTCTGGAAAGAAAATCTGTTTTTTTTTTCCTGTAACTCTAACGCTGAAGTTCTTACTAAAATGTCCAAAAGTTTTTTTTTTTTTTTTTTTTTTTAGCAAAAACGTGAACGCTAGCGAATATTGTAAGGTAACTCTGAAGAAAGAAGCAGTATTCATGAAATACAAGTCAAAGATATTGTTGCAAATTACCAAAACGAATCAACATCGGCAGAGAAAAATCCACAGCAATTAAGAGTTGTTTCCAGGCTCCTTAAAACCTCTAATGTCCCGATCGGAGGCATTGCTTCCGGATGTTGTTAATCGTCATATCCGGTTCTATCGGCTCACCAATTTTTTCGCTCTGAGCTGATAATCTTACAATATATATATATTTCTTAATATATCCGTTAAAAGTGCCGCTTTCTTAAGACACAAAATGTCAGAGTACTTTGTTCTTCATTCTTCGTAACAATTTTTGAATATATCCGTTAAAAGCTTTCACCAGTTATATTAACTTTGTTTATAATCTGTTTTCCAGAGCGTCATGGAATCATCGTGGACAGAACGCCATCGAACAATCGTCAATAATGAGGAAGTAATCAATGCCACTGAAGTGATGAAATCGATCTCTAAATGGATATCTACCGACAGATTAGGGAAATATGATCATGTTATCATTTTCAGCGGGTAAGTACCAAAGTTTAAAAATGTCTTCCTGAAATCAAATATCTTGTTGAATAATGTGCCTTTCATCATTTTCAATAGACTCACGCTTTCTTTTCTCTTTTACGGAGAAAATAACAAATAGTTTTTAAATTAGCGATTGATCCTATTTAATATTTAATTAAGTCAGTTTATTTATTTTTTTTTTTTTTTTTTAATTAACTTTCTCTTGTTTTTATACAAACGGCTGTGTGTGCAAAAAATATCCGTACGATATACATTCTAGAGCTTTCAAACATCGCTGGTCGTTTTCAAGAACATCATTTATATTTTACTTGCAATGCCCGTGAAAATTTCACGATTTAACTTTTTTTAATTTTCTGACGAAATTAATTGAATAGATTAAATACGCTTCTTGCAATTTCCATGATTATAAAATATCTGTAGAA